GCAATCAAACAAGAAAAAGAAATAAAACAGATCCAAATTGGAAGAGAAGAGGTAAAACAGTAACTATCTGCAGATACATGATACTATACATAGAAAACCCCAAAGGCTCCATACAAAAACTACTAGAGCTGATTACAAATTCAGGAAGGTTGCAGGAAACAAGGTTAATATGCAGAAATTTGTGGCAATTCTTTACACTAACAAGAAAATATCAGGAAAAGAAAGCAAAAAACATAATCCTTTAAAAAATCACATCAGAAACAAAATTAAATTAAATTAAATTAAAAACTTAGGAATAAACCTGACCAAGAAGGTGAAAGACTTATAGGCAGAGAACTATAAAACACTGACTAAGGAAGTTAAAGACAATTTAAAGAAATGGAAAGATATTCCACGCTCTTGGATCAGAAGAACTAATATTGCTAAAATGGCCATGCTACCCAAAGTAATCTACAGATTTAATGTGATCCCTAACAAATTACCCTGGACATTTTTCACAGAACTAGAACAAATAATCCTAAAATTTATATGGAATCACAAAAGACCCAGAATTGCCAAAACAATACTGAAGAAAAAGAATTAAGCTAGATGTGCATAACCCTCAGCTTCAGACTTAACTACAGACAATACTACAAAGCTACAGTAATTAAAACAGCATGGTATTGGCAAAAAAACAGACATGTGGATCAGTGGAACAGCATAGAGAGTCCACAAATAAACCCACATACCTATGGTCAATTAATCTTCGAAAAAGGAGGCAAGAATATACAATAGAGAAAAGACAGTCTCTTTGACAAGTGGTGTTGGGAAAGTTGGACAGCCACATTGTAAATCAATGAAATTAGAACATTCGCTCATACCATACACAAAAATAAACTCAAAAATGGCTCAAAGACTTAAACATAAGACAAGACAGCACAAACCTCCTAGAAGAGAACACAGGCAAAGCATTCTCTAATATAAATCATAGCAATGTTCTCCTAGGGTAGTCTACCAAGGCAAGAGAAATAAAAGCAAATATAAACAAATGGAACCTAATTAAATGTATAAGCATTTTCACAGCAAACAAAACTATAAATAAAACAAAAAGACAACCTACAGAATGGGAGAAAATATTTGCAAATGATATGACCAACAAGGGCTTAACTTCCAGAATATATAAACAGCTCACACAACTCAATAACAAACAAACAAAAAAACCCAATCCAAAACTGGGCAGAAGACCTAAACAAGCATTTCTTCAATGAAGATATACAAATGGCCAACAGGCACATGAAAAAATGTTCAATATCGCTAATTATCAGAGAAATGCAAATCAGGACTACAATGAGGTATCATCTCACATCAGTCAAAATGGCCATCATTAAAAAGTCCATAAACTATAAATGCTGGAGAGGGCATGGAGAAAAGGGAACCCTCCTACACTGTTGGTGGGACTGTAATTTGGTGTAGTCATTATGGAAAACAGTATAGAAATTCCTTAAAAAACTAAGAATAGATTCCTTACCCTATGATCCAGCCATCCCATTCTTGGGCATATATCTGGAGGAAACCCTATTTTAAAAAAGATACATGCACCCCAACGTTCATAGCAGCACTATTTACAATACCTAAGACAAGGCAACAACCTAAATGTCTATCAACAGATGAATAGATAAGCAGTTGTGGTATACACACACACACACACACACACACACACACACACACACACACACACACACACACACATATA